TTTCATGCCCAGTGAGAATCCTTCAACTTCTTCCTCCTCCGAGTCCTCCCGCTCACATTCAAGTGGTACCTAGCAGCCTACTCCAAATAACCTCGCAGTCAGTCTACCTCTTTCCACATCTGCTCCGAGTCTAACCACTAGTACCATCTCCTTACCTTTTCTCCCATTTACTTTTATCCTCTCTGATCGACCTTAAACCCCTACTCTCTGAAGTAGAGTCTCAACCCCACCTAATACCCCCGAATGAATACTTCTCCAACTGCCATCAGCTACCCCAACAAACTCCCAATCCCTGAAGGCTCTGGGAGAGGTAACCTTAGCTTCTATAACCTCCTCCTCCCCCTCTAGCCGCTTGCAAAAGACTCATGTTATGAACATTTTACATGCTGCCCAATTCTCCCTTGCCCGGAACTCCCTCCTTACCCAGATGCAAGAGCAGCAGCATGAGGAGGAAGGAAGAGAAAAAGGAAGGAGGAAGGTTCCCTTGGGTGTAAATGAATTCCTGACCATGGTCAGGCATTTACTACCATAGCAGATCTTCAAGTCCGGAGGCAACATCTACTAATAGGTGAAAGGAAACGGGTTCAGAAACAGGTAGATGGGTTGGAAAGAAAGAAAAAAAAACCTAGAGGGAGTAACTGAGGCAGAGTGAAATATGGAAAGTAAGAGGAATATTCCAACATCGTGTATTAAAAAAAGTGTGGAGAGTTGGGAGTGTGAGATTCAAGAATCGGGTAAAAAACACACATCAATATGCTCAAAGCTTGATGCTGCTCGGATTCAGCTTGGGCAAATTGATAAGGAATATGGGGAGGAACTAGATATGCAGAATCATGATTCTGGACTGGTTGGAAGTGATCAGGAAATACTCTCTGGAGACTCTGATATTGACAACAATGATGATGGAGTCTTTTTTTCTTAAAATGTATTTATTACTTTATATACCGGTAGTGTAGTTGGCTTCTATTCTCTAACCGAAGAGGCTAACCACACATTCACATCATGCATGGATATGACCTTCCCCGATTAGGGTGGATGGCTCGCTATGCCGGGCGCTCGCCATGGCGTGGAATACGTTACTGTGATTCGTTAGCAATTAATGGTCATTAAGATGCTGAGTCACTTGAACATTGAAAAGTCCAAATTCATAACCTAAAATAGCTAGTGGTTGATTGATCTTGATGTAGTGAGCCGGGTCGCGAATTTTACTGTCTCAAACCGCCCAAGGGATAAGGAAAGAATAGATAAGCTTAACAAAAGGGAGAAAAGAGAAAACGAGCAATGAAGGAAAAAAATAAAATAAAAGAAGAGAAGAGAAGGTTTGTGTGGTATGATTGGTCAAAAGATGACAAGACAGATTACCCAGCCCAAAGATGGTGCGTAATTTTTGTCGAAGAGCAGAGACAATATCAACTGGAGGTCGAAAACGGACCTCCAGCCTTCTGTTCAAAACGTGAACCTTCAACCATGCATATAAAGGTAGGCTAACTATTTTCTAGCCCACCACCTGCACTAGCGTACTCCGATTTTCGATGCCGTTTTCAACGTAAAATTACGGTCAGTAACTTTGTATACCCTTACTATGATACACACTCTTCAAGCACAGTATATCCATGTGCTGTCAGTTATCAAAATAACCGAACACTTCCAGGTAGCAACTGGAAAAACTTCTACCATGGTGCCCGATATATGATGAAAGTATTTCCCATTGCAACCAGGAGGTGTTCGGTTATTTCTGATAACTAACAGTACAAGTAAATCCAAACTCTCAGAAAAATCACAAAACAATTACATAGAACCTGTCAGACTGCCATAAAAGCTGAGCTTACCAGCAAAAGAACTTGTACTCGGTGTGTGGATCGAGATCATAACCATCCCCGCCTAAGCAGAGGCTAAAGAGACTTCACTGGTCCTCTTGAGGAAATAATGGTCATCACCCAGTTTGGAAAAACTGAACTGTCATACATGGCCAAGCACCATTTGACAACGGTGGGGGAGGGTGTCTATTAATACTAATTTGAGGGAAGTGCCGAGCATTGGGACTCGGCGGATGATAAAGAAATTTTTAGCCGACGTATTGGTAGGAGGGAGGGGATTGGGGTTTGGACCTTGTTACGGTGGTTTTGGTGTGAGTGGTTACCGGTAATTGGAGATTTTTTGGGAAACGGGTATTGTCAAATTATGATGGTGTTTATAAAGTACAGGTTTACTTGGGTGTTTAGAGGAACTCTAAGTACAGGCCTATGTCAGAGAGACAATATACTCCTCGCACTGCTACCTCTTCAGATAGATATACACCCCTGCACCATATCATCTACTGTTCACTATAGTTCTTCATTCCCCATAAAATTCTAAAACACAGAAATGAAAATAACTACTCACTCATGCCCCTACTCGGTGGCCAGCACAAGTGGTATTTCGTCACGCTGTTTGTCTGGTCTGTCGAGGTTGACATCTTCCCAGCCCAGCAGCATCCCTGCGCTAACACAGTGGCATTGAAACCAGTATAATGGTCATCATGCCATATCACTCGCAAAATAAAGGAATTTTTAATGCAAGACCAAGGTTGTGCCTTCACACATCCTACCAGAAAGATTGAAATGGTAGATTCATAATGGCACACCTCTCCTAATTTGCTTCTCTGAAGGGAGGCAAGAAGGTGCTTTGAAGGCACAGGGAGTTTTAAACCGTCCAGCCTGCAATCTTTTTTTCCACTGGAGAGACACAATGCAGTAATGAAAAACCAAATTGTCGACGAGTCAGGTTCAAAGCACCAAACGAAAAGGACGAAAGAAAAAAAGAAAAAAACCAAAAAAAACCAAATCTCTTCTATTCTCCGCTCTCTTCTAATCTATCCTGATTTCCCAACTATTTATGTTGAAATTCTCCAAAACCAACTATCCCATTGTTTTCGATAATCCTTTCTCTCGAAGCCTCCTTTTGTCCCATTTTCTTCCGCTTTTCCGCCCTTTCCGCCTTTTCCATCACCTCACATAGCCCTTTCATCATACAATTTGCTAACTAGTCACCCACACATTCAAAGTTTATATACAAAAGTTACGCAATCTCCTAATCTTCTAGCTCAACAAAACACAATCACCAACAGTCGTTTGGATCATGTAAAAATAGCTACCAAAGTGCTAAAAATACACAGCCAGATTTTGACCCTCACAGTATCATACTTAGAGTTAACCCATAGGTCTAACAAAGTACGGCCTAGTTCTTGGCACCAGAGCGACTGCCAAAACCATTCTCAATTCTGCGCCGACCCAAATATCTTGGCAGCTCCCTCAAACAACTATAAATAGACCTCCTCCCCCACCCCCCTCTTCTCTCACCATGCGATTTTACTTCATAGGATCATTTCTATAGTAAATCGTCTCATCTGAAACTCTAACAAGAGCCACAGAATCTCCAACCTGGGGGATGACGATAATCTCCTCGAGACCCAAGAGTGAGGCCTTTTATCTCTGCTTCGGCGGAGATGGCTATGATCTCGACCCGAATTGCTATGATACGCAGTGAGGGTGGGCTTTGATGGATGTCTGACAGGTTCTGTAGTATCATGTCTTGTCTTTAATACAGGCGCGTATTGAATACGATATAAGGAAAAGCTCCCTTTTTGTTTATTAAAGTAGGGTGACAAAAAACTCGGGCCATTGGCTGCTTTACACCAAAAACAGACATCTTTCTAGACTGACTGCTGAAAAACACCTCCGCAGATAATCCCGAAAAGTTCCGAACATCATGAGAATAACTACTTCCTTCTATTCTAGAAGTATGATATCAGGTACCTAAATCGATATTTGGCTGCATTTGATGCAATGGCGCAGTAAGGTCAGAAAGTGACTTCTCACTTTGTATGGGTGTGCCATACAAAAAGTACTTGACAACGATCCACTGCCCACATTATTAGTGGTTTCTCAACCCTCTTTTTCTTCTTAGGTTATTTTTTTATTGCGAGTTGTTCCCAGCATGTCTTCAAGCTTAATTATCAAAAGGAACGGCTCTAAATTTGTTGTGGTTGAGAAAATAGCGGGTGAGGATGGCCTATTTTTGGTGTAAAAAGGGCATTGGCTCGAGTTTTGTCCTATTACCACAGATTTATCCCGAAATGAATCTAGGAAGCCTTTTGTGAGGAGTTGCAGTCAGACCTCTTTGCTCATCCAACTGTGACCTCTACCGTGCGCTCCAAATCCAATTAAACTCCCGATCAAGATATCCCTAGACAACTCTAGAAATAATAGTCTTTCACAAAAGCCAAAAATACAAAGTGCTGTAGTAGGAGTAACTATCGTAGCGGATGTAAGTAAAGCTCCCGTGGAAGCCTGAAGGACGCGAACACCTTCAGTTAAACCCCCAACCCAAATGTTCAAGTGATATTAAATGACCAGGGAAAAGCCCTCGGGGCCAGATTTCATCCGCTTTTTCCCCCTCAAATCCTTCGACACAACTATGGTCCTCCGACGAACTAAATACTCGCCGAAACTGTTTGCGATAGGTGCAAATATGCGCGTATCGGAACTGCTGCAGTATCAAGCTCGTTTTTGGGCCAACAGAACCTCGAGATTCGGGGACTTCAAAGATAATGAAAGGATAGCTATTTGCCATGAAGAAAAAAGAATGAAAAAACAAAACTGTTAAACCTCCGGTTGGTATAATTTGATTGCTATCTATCTCGTAGATGAAGCGGCAGGTATTTAAGCTTAAGTTTAGTACGATACAGTATGTATTTCGGATACAACGGATTGAGAGAAGGGTGCACGTGTGCCCAATTTTTTTTCAACCTTTTCAATGATTCAAGTGAGTTCTGCGTGATCACATCCTTCTGCTACTATTATAAAATTGCCCATAGGATATTGATAAATAGTCCGATATAGGACGGAAGAGTACAGTAAAAGCAGATGGGAAAGAAAGAAAGAAACAAACATATATTATGATGAGATGGTTTGAGAAGAAACCCGATAAAAGTAAGATCATGCTAGAAAAAAAAAGATTTGAAGACTTAATGAAAACAATACCCATACAATCTAGTAGTACTCCGGAGAGGAGTGAAGTTATGATAATAATAATGAACGCCATCCCTGGTCTAAAATCAGCTCACTCCCCTTCGCACAGCATACTCGTACTTGAAAATGGAATATATGACACAAACATTAAGGAGTATGAAATATTATCCTCATGGGGGACTGCTACATCGCACAGCGGGAATAATAATCAACCAACCAACGAAAAAAAGGAAACAGAGATGAGGAAAAAGATAAAGATAGTGAAGAAGCGGGGACAAAAAGGGAAGTATGGCTGGAGACCCAGTGATAGCGGCGGTTCGAGGGTGTTTTCTGGTGAAGGAAGGAGGGGAGGTGGGGTTGGGTGGGGGATGTCGTAACCTGAAATTGGGGGTTCGGCATGTAGTTTAGGGGGAGAGGGGGGCTCGATCGAGGAAGGTATTGTTGGCTGGCATTAGACTGGCTCGGGAATGGAGAGCAAGTTTACTATTGCATGATGTGCTTTGAGTTTGGCATAACAGAGAGGTGTTTTCCCACTGTTATCCGCTGTTTCGGGGTTGACGCCGTCACGTTCCAACAGCAGCTTGACTACTCCCGCGTGCCCATTACGGGCAGCCCACGAGAGGGGTGTTTGGCCAAAACCAGTGTCCGGGATATTGGGATCAACATCAGTCCGTTCTAGTAGCAACTTGACTACTCCCTCGCGCCCACGCGCAGAAGCCAAAATGAGCGGCGTTC